AAAGAGTGTGAGATGACGCAGATGAGAATAAGGAGACTCTTGCTCCACCAAGAATGTTTTGCTGATGTTGCTGTTTTTAACACTTGGAAACTGCCTCCATTTGGTGTTTATGGTGTATTGATAAAGTCTTTACCATTGCCAGTAGGGACATTAGTTATTCATACAAAACTTTTTTGTGGACATCACAGAAAAATCTGATTCTTACATTGGGACCATCTGGTTTTTGTATCATTAAGACTTAATGCCTACACTTGGCAAAGTGTTTTCATCTAAACTATGTTTAACAGACTTCAGCTGGGATGGTAAACTGGATGAAGTCAGGCTTCTGAGCTTGTTCCTCTGTGTAAACTTAAATGTGGGAAATTAGTACAATGATTTTTAAAATAATGTGAATTTATAAGCTAAACTTACGAATCCTTGAAGCCTAAATCTTGTTTAACTTGAGGGATCTTTGGCCATGAGACTTGAGTCATGAGTGCTGCTGCACTGAGCGGGGAGGAATTTTAGTGAGAATGCAGGACAATGAGAATGAATATTGACTGACTGTGAAATCCATTTGGACTTCCAAAGTTTGAAATGACTTTGACTAAATACTTACTGGCCACATGTAGAGAAAATAAAAGCCAAAACCCCAACGCTCCTAAAAGATCAAGACTTTTGTAGTATAGTGTAATTGCAGTAGCAGGCAACTGATATTTTGAACCAATGCAAACTATACCACTGGCTGTTTTGCACTCAGTATTATCTATTTTTGTTTCGCTGTTTAGAAATTCTTTATATGACAAAATAATAGCTGGTTTAAAATAGCCCATTTTAACAAAGTAACTATATTTCTTGTTACAGAATACTGTCTATTTTTCTACGATGTAAACAATTGCTAATGAGTGGCAAGTATAAAGAAGTATTATTATTATTATATTTTAAGAAGAATTATCCTTTTGAGGGAAGATAACCCAAGGAGGGTCCCTTGCATATCTTAATGAACATTCCATATAGCATCATATCCAGTACTGTTACTTTCTTTTGTTGTGAAAGGAGCAATCTATCTATCTACAGGCATATGTATGTATTAAAGGGTTAATTTCTATATCCTTTTCCCTTCAACGGCTGGATAGTTCTTTTTGGAGCAGCTCTTCTGAGAACACAGCTGAACGCCGTCTGTGCTGGTGTTGCTGCCATAACATTCCACTGACTATAGTTACCAAAAAGTGGTTTTGGATCCCTGTCTCAGTGTCTCCAAGCAGCTCTGATAAAATACCTGGGTACATTTCTTACATTTTTTTTACATGGTGTGGTTTTGGGTTAGGCTAGTATTTGAAAATAAATCAATCGGGACCAAATCTAATCTCTGAAGTCAGTGAACATCACTGGAGGATGAGATGGATTTTAGATCATTTTGGTGAGACATTCAAATATATGGCTTTTTAAAAATATATTTTGCAAAGTATAAAGCCTCTACATTCTGCTCTTGAAGTAACCAGCGCAACACTTGTTGTTGGAAAGCCTTCATGTCAACTTCTGCATGATTTTTCTTTTTTAAATGCTCTTGTTTGCTAACATTCTTTTGATGATTTATTTATGTTTCAAGGGGTTTTTTTTCTTTCCTTTTTAGTCTTATAGAACAACCTTATCTCCTAGATGTTTCAGATTCCTGAAATGTTGGGCTTGGGTGGTCTGCAGTTTGGCAAAAACAGAAATATATATATTTCAGAAATATATATATATATATAATGCTTTGGCAGCAAAAATTCTTATCTGTAACACATGGTTCTGTTACACTTGAAATATTTTAAGTTTGTTATATTAAAAGAAAATTCAGTTTTTTATAATTTATTTTATTGAATCTTGTACACTTTCTCCAGCTGTACTCATTAACATTCTGTATCTATAAATCTTACCTATATCGATCCTACTTTTAAACTCTGCCTTTTTTGGTTGTAGATCTCTAATAGGGTGCATTGTCGACTCAGAACCAAACAGCAGCCAAGGTCTGTGTTAGTAATGGTGACATTCCCTATAGTTCTCTAAGCAAAAATTCATACTCCACTATTCAATGAGCCACTTGATCATTTGATTTCAGTGATACCACCAAATTGTAAAGCCTGGGAATAACTTGAAGGTTTCAATTTACACTTCAGTTTCTGAAGAATTTTAAATTTTCATCTATTGCCAATCCAGCTACATTCAGCTTATGTCTTTATGGGATAATCAGTTATTCTGGCAGTTTTGAAGATGAGAGGGAACAACAGTTTTTACAACACATCTGTTCTATAAATCATAGAAAAAATTAAATACCAAAACATGTAAACAGCTAAGATCCTAAAGAAACATAAGCAAAAACATTAGCAGGGAAGGTTTATTACCTAAGTCTGTAAAATTAACATCTAGAGAGCAAGTTCATAAAGCTTGCTTTATAGCAGTTTGTGACTGGAAGAAGAAATGCTATAAAATACAGTTTATCTAATAACATTAGTCACTTCCTTTCTCACTAAGTCAGCATGTTCAGATCTATATTCTAGGAAAGAGGTGTTGAACTTAGCTTGTGCCCTGGGCAAGATCCAGGTTGCAGGGCTCCCTGTGGGGCAGATCCATCCCAGGGCATGCAGCAGCAACAGCTCTAGCTCCAACCCAGGGTACACACCATTGGCAGTGGCAGTGGCACCTGGGCTTCAGCATAGAGCACATGACAGCCCCAGATTCTGCAGTAAGCCATGCCTCACAACATCTCATGGCCTGCCAATAGCCTGGCAGGCTGGATTTAGTAGCTGTCCAGGCCAGACCCAGCTTGCAGGTCCGTCCTATGTTTTACACTCCTCCTCTAGAACATGCAGTTTATTAAGAAAACATGGTCCAGTGATTGTGTGGTACAGGTGTCAGTGTTAAGAAAGAATGTCTGGGATAGAACCAGAGCTGGCACTTTAGGTGAGTAACTGCATTTGGCAAAATTTCCTTGGAGTTAACAATCAGCAACTTTTTAGATATTTTGAGGAAATTTTTCATAAAAGCTGAATGGATAATATAGTTTCCCTCTCAGGCCATTTCTAGTGGGTATGTACAACTGTTGCTGTACATAACAATAACTGGAATTAGTGGTGGTTATTCAGAAAATAGGACAAGGTTTGAGTGGAGATGGAGAATAAGGGTTGCCGGACACCTTTTATAATCCTTGCACCAGTGCCTTAGAAGGGTGCAAAATACTACCAAATCAAAACAGCAGTAGAGAATCAGGTACTGAATCTTCTTCAGTGTAAGTGGTACCTTCAAGTCATGGCTGAAGTACAGTTATGGAAGAAGCAGAGGAAGCTTATGCTGTTGCCACCCCACTGTATCCAGTCCTCAGGTTAACAGGGTAACAGACTTCTCTTGGATGGTCAACCTGGTAGCTTTTGTGAGCTTGCCTTTTGCAGGTGTGCCCCAAAATGCATGGAATTACTGCTACTTGAAAAAAAAAGGGGAGACAGTTCCGGAGGTTGAGAGTGAATTAGGAAACCACCATCTTTTTCCATTTCCCTATCAATCTTCAGTATGCAAAATCAGTCCAGGGAATTAACAGTGTTCATACCACTCAGTGCACTAACTCCACTTCCAGGGTTCCAGATAGGGTTGGACCAAAATCCTGGGACACCTTCCTTCTGTCAGAGGATGACAAGCAAGTAGTGAGCTTCTGGTGGTACTTTCTCTATTTCTTTGTGTTGTTTACTGCCCTTGCCAACCACCAGTGAAGGGGAATCACTCAGACCCCTATCTTGCAGAAGGGTTCTAAGTACAAAGCCTGGATATGCAAATGAAGTCCCAGTGGTGTCAATGGGATTTTCCATAGGCACACAAATACGCTCACAGAGATGCATGCACAGGGTGGGATTCATCTGAGCTTTCTATTTTCCTTAAAAGATTCTTTAGTTTCCTAATGCTGACTACACACCTTGCCAGAGGGATGAATTCAGATGAGGAAAGTGTGGCCTTGATTAAGGAATGAGCGGAGGCCTGTGCTTAAGTTCCAGTCATGGCTGAATAGAGAAGGATTGCTGAATTGAGCTTTTTGAGAGTGGGAGGGGTCTATTAATAGATAAAACACGATTGAAATACCCAGCGATGTACTTGGGTAAGCACTCACCCAACCATTAAATTAACTCAGAGCAACCTTTCTAGGAGTAAGAAAGCACACAGTATTTCAAAGCAAAAGTCAAAGTAGATCATATTGGCAGGGTAACTGTTAATTCAGATCATTGTCTCTTATATGCATCCCACCTGGCTCCCTCAGTTTAAACCCAGAGATCAGACATACAAGTAGTACAAAATACATTAGGTGCAAGTACTTTAGGCACTGCAGCATGCAACGATCCTTGAAGAAATTGGTTGTTTATAGTATGTGTTTAGAATGTTCAAATTATAAAAAAATAGTGTGTCAAGTTTGTGCCTCATTGAAAATAACCAGTCTGGCAGAATTATTTCTGTATAAATATTTGAATCTAGTAAAATGCTTTTGCTTGTTTAATCTTGCAATCCAATGTTAATATTTAGGGTCAGTGTTCTGTTGCCTTAGAAGTACATGCACCCTGATGAATGATGGTGCTCTAATGCTGAAATTACTGCTGGGATTAGAAAGTTAACTTTTTCTACACATATCATCCATTCAATGGAATTGGGGGAAAGGAGAAAGAAAGAAAGAGAGAGAGAGTGCAGGTGGGGAGAAGGTAAACCCTGTTGCATTACTAATTCTCTATAATAAAAGTGTCTTGATTTGGGTCACAACGTCCCAGATTCAAGATCTCCCAGTTTAAACTACTATAACTGGGAACAGAATCTTTTCCTGATGGGATCTATCAGACCAAAGAGGTGAATGAAGTAACAAGACAAAATTGTAGGGCAACCTATGTTAACTGTTATGGAGAGACTTGGTAAACTGTTTATGAACCCATGGCTTCTGCCTTCTAGGGTACTGGCTTTTTTTAGGCTAGGCTCAGCTGCCATTTGACAGTTGGGTCATCATACCATCATCCTTATTTATTGATGTAAGCCTTACTCACATGAGTAATGACAGAGCTTTTATTAGGATCAACTGGAAGAGTAACAATTTAGAAAAACCATAGGTCAGCAGTTCTCAAACATGGGGATATGTGGTAAACACATAGGCATACAAAAAGGAAGAATTGGAAAACAGAAGAAAAGAAAGTGAAAAAATAAGTGGAGGACAAGGAAGGAAAAAAAGGAAGCATAATTCTGCAGTATCTTTTAGTTGCTGAAGAGGCTATGATATGGTTGTGGAGGCAAAAGTGTTACTTTTTTATTATCTATAACTCAGAATCATAGGTCTACACAGCATTATAGCAAGTTTAAAGGGTGTGGCCGAAAGATATTTGAGACCTACTGCTGCAAGCAGGGGAGAAATTGTTGAACTCATTGGAACACTTGAGAAAGTTAAATGATTATAATTTTAGTTGTGATTTAATCTAGTTGCAACTCGCATGCAAATATTCACCAAAATCCTCATTGCAGGATCTAAATAAAAGCTGTTTCTCATCATCTCTACTGAAAAAAAAAAAGTTTGGAGCAGAAAAAGACAAATCCTGCAAAACCCAAATCCACAACATTGCCTCCCACCCAGGCTAAAAATATGTTTGCAACATGTCCCAGGGCTGGACTGTACAGGGAGGATGAACATCAGAATTGGCTAACACATTGCAGAGATTAGAAATAAAAATTAAATTTACCAGCCAGAGAAACCACAATAACATGCAGATTATAAAATAAATGAGGAACTTTCCACCGTAGATGGCAGGAAACGTAGTCATCTAAATCATGACTGGCTAAGAAAATAACCAGAACCCAGAAACTGTTCCTAAACTGGAAGGAAAACAAGAAGATATGAGCTTTAGACAGCATGCACATATCCTTTTGCTATTAAATACAGCAGCTAATTTTTTCAGGAAGATCTTCAACATATTTTTCTCCATCATCCACAATAAGTCATTCCCATGGATCTCTGCTCTGGGCAGCCCAAGGGATGGGGTTGGGGTGGAGTAGTTCACAGGGATGAAAGAAGGCAGCACGTACAGTAAGCAGCTATAGGAAAAAATTGTGTCATATCACAGGATGAATGTCTTCAAGAACTTCTTTGAAATTTTCTGTACAATGTAAATATCCGGTTTCTGTAAATGGGGGGACACTGCTGTCTAACAATAAATATTCTCCAAATAAAGGTTTTGCATGAACATGTCAATTTTTACTTTATGTTCCAGGAAGTATTGGGGTGTTTCTGCTGCTTTGGAGGAAAAGAGTGGTACTGTTGAAATGTACTACTACTACTACAGTCCTCTAAAACATAGTTATGTGCCATAATGAACTGTGAGCCTACCTGTCACTAGAGTATTCACTCTGAGAAATTATTCCCCACACCACAAAATGCTCTACTTCTCAAATCTTAGTGTCATACTTGCAACAGAATTTAATTTAGGTTGCTGTCATGTGGTTTTTCTAACATACATTTATTCAATAGCTTTGGGGTCTATAAAAGGGGTGTAGTGGCAGTATAGGTAAGGTGTCTTGTGACAGCTCCAGGGATATGACTTCAAGTCCTGCTCTGCACTCCTGTCAAAGGCTAGCCTTAGCTTCAAATGGTCACTTATTCCCTGGTTCCCTTATGTGCTGTTGGTTAAGAACTGCTGTGCCTTAATCATGATAGCACACTAGGCTGCCAGGTTTGGATATATTTTTTCCTTTGGAGTCTGTTGTCACATATGTGACAAGCTGGTCTTCCTTAACCGTACATGTGCCCTTTACATATTGGCCGAGTCCCAAGCAAGCATGAAAAAGTTTTCCCTTTGCTCACCTGCAAACTGACAGCAGCCTCAGTTTAGCTACTACCCTGACTGAGGGCACTTTAGATACCGGTACTTATACATACCAGTACTTAATATGTTAACCTACCAAATCCACCTAAGCCTAGAGAATGGTTCCCATTCATTGAACCCTGAGGGAGCTAGCTGTCTCATATAAACATCCTGCATTTTATCAGTGATAAAATCCCTCTTATGCATGTCAGTGATGGGCAGCAAGCCCAAAGCCGTGGACACAGTTGTAGAGCGGGCACACCAGAGAGGTGATCACGCTGTAAGCCTTGTACTCTAGTCTGTTTAGCATTTTCATTGCATTTAGCAATGTTCTGGGCTCTCATTTCAAAGGGTTTATAAAGTGTTTTCTGGTTCTGCATTAATAGTTCTCTAGACTGTATTTAGGGATGATGATTCTAATTCAATTCTGTTAACAATTATTGCCAGAGGTAGAATGGCTCAGGCCATGGTAATATATTATCCAGTCTTTCAATCCAGGTCTTAGGGCGTGTGTAGATGAAACGGGCCCTAAATTGAAGCAGTGGGTTTTTAAAACACCACTTAAATTTAGGGCAAAGTAACCTCTTTTGTACACCTGTGTCTTACCTGTCTCTCCAGTGGCGGGGAGGGGAGGGCAAGCTGCCAGTGGGTGGAGTGGTACCCAGGCTGCATTGTGGGAGCTGGTGCTTCCCTCTGCAGCAGTGGCGGCCCCACCCCCAGGCAGCACCTGCCCACAGGCACCCGGCTCGGGTGATCCCAGGGGGCACCGCAGCCGTGGAGGGAAAGACCAGGTCCACATGCAGCTCATGCAGGCAAGCAGGCCCCAGGTGTGGGGGGTGGGGAAAAGATCAGGCTCTCTGTTTTGTTTTGTTTTTTTCCTTTGGTGGAGCTGCCTTCCCGGACTGCTGTGGCTGCCTACATGGGCTGCCTGCGCATTGCCTGAGCTGCATGGAGCCTGGTGCTTCGCTCCGCGGCTGTAGAACAGCAACCTAAAACTCCTCGGAGGTGTTTTAGTGGCCTGTGCCCCAAAGTCGTGTTAAGGCGCATTACGCTGCCAAATGTGCTACAGTGGCTGGAATTAATGCGCGATACACCACTGATGTGTGCAAACACCAACACCATTAAAGCAGTGCAAAAGCATTTAGCCCGCTTTAAAGTGTCGTGCACACATGCCCCTCATTTCGTCTATACATGCCCTTAGGTTTTAACTTAGATCAGTTAGTGTGGAACAAAAATGAACTGCCTGATGGTTGCTTGCTCTGTCTCAAATAAACTGGTTACCTCAGCCCGGTACCTAGAGGCCCATGTTAGCACAAGTGAGTAACTGAGAGCCTCAGTGCACAAATGCTAACCTGATGGCATGATGCCCTACAGGAGGCAGGAGATTATCGTGACGGCAACCGGTTAAAAGAGAGAAGAGTGGCCCAGAGATACTCGACAACTCCAGGTGACTGGAGGGCCTTACACTCACCATCAGACTTCCTGCCCTGTAACTGAGCTCATGCTCCAGGGGTGGCTAGAACAGCCCTGGAGGCCCTGTAACCCCTTCCCTGCACCAGCCCTGGGGTGCCCTCCCCCTCTCACTCACTCACCATACCTTTGACACAATTGTTTGTTCAGAAGGGAGGCTGCCTTATAGGTCCCAGGGTGACCCCCCAGTGCTTCTAGATGCCAGCTAGTTCTTCCAAGGCACCAGTTATGCCTTAAGGGCTAGTTGCATGGCTCTAACTGCCCCTTACACCACACCCATACATTGCACATGTCACTGTACCATCCTACAGGTGGGACACTTGTTCCCAAAGCCACCAGGCCACCTCAGGCCTTTACTCCCTTGTGGGGCTTTGGCCTTCCCAGCTGCCACCTCTCTACTCAAGCTGGTCCCTTAGCCATGGGAGCTAACTGGAGCTAGCTTCTGGGCTTATCTTGTTAGTTAAGTCCTGGGCTCCCTGGCCCTGCCTCAGCCCTGCTCTGGCCCCCAAGCTCTGTCCTTCTCTGAACTTTGGGCCCCCTGGCCCCAGTCTGCTCCTCGAGCCTGACCCCTGGGCACATGCCCCTTGGGCACTAATGGGACCTCCAAGCCACTCCTCAGTCCTTTCCCCAAACCACCAGTTAAAACACAAGCCAAAACATGAGCCCTCAGCACTCTAGCTGCCTAACTCAATTATCTAAGCCTGCTGGCTCTTTAAGGCAGTTGCCATCCATACTGGCTCCACTCTGCCAGCCCTCGGCCCTCTACTCCCAGCTCCCCGGTATAGCAGGTTCACAGTCCATCATCAGCTGGCAGCTCTCTGCAGGGCTCCTTTCCCCTCTGCTTCCAGATTGACTCTTCTGGGCTAAGTCCTGGGCTTTTGAGTCTCTCCCCAGGTCACCTGACCCACTACTTCTGCCCCAGCCTGTCAACCGCTGCCTGCACCTGCGGAGGGCAGCCGTCTTCTTTAGATCCCGTCCCCCATCATCAAGCCTGTTCTGGGCTGGCCTGCAGGCCTTGGGCACCCTTCCCCTTCTCAGTAATGGGGCCAGGGCCCCGTTACAGTGAACAAAGGGAAAATATTGAATGGACCAGGCCTCTTTGCATTTCAGATATGTGACCCTTGAGGGCATTTTTGTTAAAATGCAGTTTAAGTTTCAATTTTGGGGGTAATATAAAATGATTAGCACTGTTGGATAGTGAGGGGACAAAAGAACCGTATCAAATCTACCTGGGGCGAGGGAGGTCACTCTGGTCTAAGGTGAAGTCTGCTATGAGGAAGTAGAGAAGATTAGAGCAAATCAGGCTATGGGGAGTAAGTGTGACAAAGAGAGTTAAGAAGGGAACTTTTTTCAGGAAGGTCTACCTCAGGGGTTGTCCACCTTTCTAAGCAGTACTTGGAAAGGTGCTAGGGGGTACACACAGGCAGGTGGGGATGGAGCACCACCACCTACCACCCTGCATCGCCACCACCACCACCTCGCGCCACTGCCCCTGCCACTGCACGTAGCTCCATGGGCTGCAGACAGGTGGTGAGCGACTGGCCGGGTGCAAGGCCCATCAGCAGCCTGAGGAGCCGCACGCCACCACCGTGCAACCAGCCGCATGACGTGCGACTGCCACCACCACCCACGCTGCTGTGTGCAAGCCTCCACCCTCCCTCCCCTCTGCTCCACATCCAGCTGCCACCACCATCACCATCACCACCCCTGCTCCGCGACCGGCCGCTGCCACCAGAAGAGGTAAACTCCTTAAAAAAGGTTGAAAACCCCTGGTCTACCTCATAGTAAAGCACTGTAGAGTTTTTGTATGCCAGTGACCTTTGAGGGACGGACGAAGTAGAACTGAGACTGCACAAACACAGCTTTGAAGCATCAAGCAGTCCTATGATGGTGGTAGGGGGAGCAATGAGGTAGCCAGGAGGCCTGATGCTCAGGATGCCGCGGCAGAGGATGGCGACCTCAGTGTGCCATTCCAGCTAATGGTGAGTGTGGCACAATGGAGGAGGGGAGAGGAGAAGATAGATAGGAGGTAACTACCTCATTAGCCATTTCCAGCTGTGAAGAGATGGCTGGGCTGAGGGCTGTTGCCAGGGCCCGCTGAGGAATGGGACTGACCTAGTATTGTTGATTCCTTCATTGTTGCCGGGTCTCCCCTGTTTTTTCAGTGTTTGCTCTTGGTAAAATGTCTTTGTTTGAAACGTGGACACCTTACTTTCAGGGCTGGAATATGGAACTATTACTCATGAAAAGCACCTGGAAGCCTATAATCTAGTCTCCCTGGTTTCATAAGACAGGGCTCAGACCAGCACAATTAAAGGTTTTGTTTGGTTTTGTTTGAAGGATCCCTTCAGTAAATGAACCCAGGGCCTGGCAGAAGGGTTACATATAGCTTGACTAGACATACAGACTTGGCTGCTTCATCACTTTTAGCTCTGATTTGTCAAAGCAATTGTGAGACACCTCTGGTGCCAGTGGGGGGGTGGAGGATGTGAGTGCCTAGGGCTCCCTCTGTCTGGGCATGAATTGCAAAATCCCATTGAAAAGAGAAGTGTGAGAGCGTCATCTGAATGCTGGTCTGGTCTGGCAATGAGTTTCCTCTCTTGTTTCATACCAGATGCAACAGGGCTAAAGCATTCATAATGCTGTCTCAAATGGGTGCTAAGGGCCTGATTTGCAGCACCCCCAACTCCAGTCAGTCAATACGAACTGCAGGCATTACTGCCTGTTCTGAAACTCAGCCTCTAACTTCCTGTGACTTCCACAAAGCCCTGTGCATGTTTTTTCTGCTATTTCTACTTAATATGAGGCTAGAGCAGGGATTGGCAATGTTTTTGGGAAGAGTGCCAAAAACACCCGCAACCTCCACTTGTAAGATATTGGCATGCCAGGGGTGGACGGTGAGGGAGCT